AGGACTATGCAGGTAAAGAAGCATAATGAAGTTTAAGTAGAGTTCAATCCTTGGTCTAGAGAACAACTCAGCTTCTGAGAAAGAAGTTTCCATTAATAGATGAAACAAATGTCCTCTAAAAGTTCAGAAATATCTGGCACATACATGCATAATACCCACAAAGCTAGATGTGGTTCCAGGTATTTTCCTAAAACTAAAGAAGAAATACCTGATGTGAACTGTTCTAGAGGGAGGCGATAGGGAAGAACATTCAGAAGGGAAGCAATCCAGTCCTTTATATGAGTTCACAGGACACCAATGAATGCACCAACGGATTGTTCATATACCTCTGATCATGAGACTTTATTGTACATATTTCAGAGCTACCTTCCTTTAAAAACTTTGAAACCTGTTCATTTCTCTCTTTCTTTCAATGCATCTATCTGTCTTTCTACCTACACATGTATTATTACTTTAATAATACACATGTCTGGGTACTAATGTTCATTATTAAACCATATAATAAGGTTCAGGCAAACAATCTGAATACTCTTAAGAATTCTGTGTCACAAACTCCACTGATACCAGAGTAAGGGGCATTCTAAAATTAATTTCCCTTGAAAACGTTTGTCTTTGAGTGACTGATTTTAGCAAAGGAAAAATGAACCAAGTCATGGATAAGTTGAAAATGTTAAAAATTCTATTTGGGGTTGGGAATTGAGCTCAGTGGAAGAGTGCTTACCTGGAAAGTGCAAGGCCCTCAGTTCAGTCTTTAGCTCAGGGAAAAAAATCTATTCTTATCACAGGCCAAAGGAATCATAATGTTTTCTTGTCTCTAGAAACACATTATCTACAAGGACATTGGACATCTGGGTTCTCCAGGTCTGTGCTTTGTCACTGAGATCTGCCAGCCTGCAGATCTGATTTGCACTGCCCAAACCATGTTGATTTGCATGTGCCCAGAGCACAGCCCACTGCACTGGGAACTTCTTCACAGGCTGCTCACACTCTGTACAGGAGAAGTTCCAGTCAGCAAACAACGTGGACATGAGGGTCCCTGCTCAGCTCCTGGGGCTCCTGCTGCTCTGGATTGCAGGTAAGGAAAGATGATACTGAGTTTATTCATCCAGTGTTCAGCTGAGCTATGTGGCTGTTCATGGAATTACTTGGGCAGCAGAATTAATTAAAGTGCTAATGGCTTTTATGTTTCCAATGTCAGGTGCCAGATGTGACATCCAGTTGACCCAGCCACCATCCCTGTCATCATCTCTGGGAGACAGAGTCACCATCACTTGCAGAGCGAGTCAGGGCATTGGCAATAATTTACATTGGTACCAGCAGATAGCAGGGAAAGCTCCAAAGCTCCTGCTCAGTTATGCAACTACTTTGCAATCAGCGTTTCCACCAAGGTTCAGTGGCAGTGGATCTGGGACAGAGTTCACTGTCCCCATCAGCAGCCTGCAGCCTGAAGATGCCGCAACTTATTTCTGTCAACAGAGTTATACCTATCCTCCCAAAGTGACACAAGTCATTACAAAAACCTCCCAGCAAGGCAGAAGTGAGAGGCTGGCCTGTCCCAGCTGCTGCTCCTGGGACCTCTACCTGCACAACTGCCTCTACTCTACACAACTTCTCAGATGAAGCCAAACTTTAAGGTCACTGGAGAGAGAGGTCATGGAGGCATTTGCACACACTAACTCTCTGGCTTCCTGCTCATCCCAAGCAGCACACACCTTACAATGGCTCTTCTGACTTTAAAAATCACTGATCTTTGATAAGGGAGCTAAAAAAATAGAATGGAAGAAAGACAGCCTCTTCAGTAAATGGTGCTGGCAAAATTGGTTAACTACTTGTAGAAAACTAAAGCTAGATCCCTATATATCACCCTGCACCAGAATCAACTCCAAATGGATCAAAGACCTTGGAGTCAAAGCAGACACTCTGAAAACATTACAGGATGGAATAGAAGAAACCCTAGGTCTCCTTGGGACAGGTCAAAATTTTCTTAATAGAGACCCTGAAACACAACAAATCAAAGAAAGGTTGGACAAATGGGATTGCATGAAATTTCAGAGCATCTGCATGGCAAAGGACATAGCTAGCAAGATCAATAGAAAGCCTACCAACTGGGAGAAGATCTTCACTAGCCATACAACGGACAAGGGTCTCATATCTAAAATATACTTGGAACTCAAAAAATTAAATCCCCCAACAACAAATCTTCAAAGAAACAACTACCCAATAAATATGTGGGCTAAAGACTTAAAGATAAACTTCTCTGAAGAAGAAAGAAGGATAGCCAATAGACACATGAAGAAATGCTCAACCTGCTTAGCCATAAAAGAAATGCAAATCAAAACAACATTGAGATATCACCTCACCCCAGTTAGAAAGGCAAAAATCAAGAACTCTAATAACAACAGATGCTGGAAGGGATGTGGACAAAGGGAACCTTACTTCATTGTTGGTGGGAGTGTAAACTTGTTCAACCACTTTGGAAAGTAGTATGGAGGTTCCTCAAAAGACTCCACATAGAGCTCCTCTATGACCCAGCAATCCCACTTTTGGGCATGTACTCAAATGCTTACAAACAAGACCACACTAAAGCTCACAACAATGTTTACTGCAGCATTATTTACTATAGCTAAGATATGGAACCAACCCAGATGCCCCTCAGTAGATGAATGGATCAAGAAAATGTGGTCTATATACAAATGGAATTCTATGCCTCCATCAGAAAGAATGACATTGCCCCATTTGTGAGGAAATGGAAAGACTTGGAAAAAATTATATTAAGTGAAGTAAGCCAAGCCCAAAGAAACATAGGTCCCATGGTTTCCCTTATTTGCAATATTTAGTATATGTATGAGTCAAGCAGAAAAGGTCAGATAAGGTGATGTTTGGAAAATGAACCCTAAGATATGTATTTAAATGTCTTTTTTTCTTTCATGCATTTGTTTCTAATGCATTTATAAGATTATTTCTTTGTTGCTTTGTATGTCCCTCCCCCACAGTATAACCCCTGCTTTCACTGTAATTGATGTTGGTATAATTTGTGGAGGGGAAGGGGAAAAATAATTGTTTAAATAAGGATACAGGATGACCGGTTGCAACAATGAGAAGTACAAGTTGTCATGTCAAAAACGAACTTTACAACTTTGCTGGGGGGGGGGGGAGGATTTGGTGGGGGGGGGTAGGCGGAGGCTAGGAAGGAATGGGAAGGGTAAACAAAGGAGGAGGCTACAATGCTTGATAAGAAATGTACTCATTATCTTGCCCATGTAATTGTAACCCCTCTGTACAGTATTTTCACAATAAAAAATATTAAAAAAAAAAGATGTCAGTGAGACATAAAATGTCTAGTAGAAGTGAGCACAAATATATTGAATACTAAGATACCAGCATTGCCTGATATTCCAGGGAAAATAGTATAGAACTTTACATTCTCCCTGCAACAAGATTCTGGCTGGATTTTTCATAGACAGATCCTATAAAAGCACAAGAGATACAAACTCACACCTAGAGATGCCTACAGCAAAGCTGAGTCCTGGGTCATCTCCTTACTAGTACACATGGGAACAAACAAACACACACCAAAAACCTAAACAACAAGGACATAGCATAGGCATGCATGGTGAATGGAGAGGATAAGCAGAGGGTATAGAGATGTTTGCTAACATGAACAGATTTGGTATCAGTAGTCAGAATTTCATGGTGATAACTAGAATCATCACAAATGACAGACATGGCACAATATAAACAATTCCAAATTAAGAAAAAAATGTAGCTCATTTATTATGGAACAGTAAAGAAACCTATAGCTCCAAAAGCTGGTGAGCCTGCGAGTGAGTCACATTGGAAGAATTACACAGTGTGCTGCTTCCCCTCTATTACTTCATCTGATGAATTATCATTTTACATAAAAAAGAACAAGACTATTTTAAATGCATAAAATCCATGTAAAACGCAAACTAGAAACTGGAATTAAATGTAGAGTGTGGCAGTGATAGGATGTTGGTCACTTGCCAAATTGATTACAAAATGCAGAATTTTACTTTGGGTGTTATGGAGATTGAAACTCAAAATTTCCTGTCTGCTACACAATTACACTGTCACTCTGCTTTTGTTTTTCCGACAGGGTAGCATGCTTTTATTTTAGTTGGTCTGGCAATGCACTTTCAACTTCAGACTTTGTGTTTGTTCATTATAATATGGAAGAATGTTTGGATTTTTTTACAAATATTCACTGAATCTTATAATCAAGGATTAATTTGGTTTGGGAAGGGGTACAAGATTTCCCCTTCCTCCATGACCACAGTCAGTCACCACCTTGAACCCCAAAGATTATAAATTGATTCAAGTTGAAATCTGGATAGAATTGAGACCACTGTAACTATCATTTGTTTATGCATTATACAGCCTATGGATGTCTACAAACTCCATTGGGATTTCAAGGCTTTCTCTGGAAACCCCTTGAGAATTTATTTGGCCATTAAGATGTTATTCAGAGAAACATCAGGTCTGGAAACAAGTTCCTACAAACACCATAAATAAGGAAGTAAGGCTGAATAGCAATTGAAAATACATTAAATGGTCACATAGATCTCAACCCCTCTAAGATCTGACACTTTTCTCTTCCCCAGGACCAGAAAAAAAGCACAGTACCACTGAGGCAGTGTGGCATTGGTTTTTGTCCTGTCTTCAACTTGATTCCAAATTACAATAAGTGAAAGTCATTAGCATTAAATTAATAGCCCTCATTTCCCAAATTGCCAAATTTAGCAGTCTCATTGAAATAATTACAAATTTGCCTTCATTGTCATCCAGAAGGCCTATCTTCTATCCCAACCACTTTAGGAATTTCACCCAGATATCTGTGCCTCCCACCCTCACATCTAGATCAATTGAGAAACAAAGTGATATTTAAAATGCGACACAATGCTACTAACTCTTTAAAACAGCTATTTTTTATTCACCCTTGAAGTTGCCCAGTGCTGACCAGCTGGTTTTAAAAAGTATGGATGACCCTCTCCATTCTCCAGGTAGTAGCAGAAATTTGGACACATGTAAGCAGAAAGAGATACATGAGGACTAGGGAGTTTGAAAGTAAGTGTTTTGCCCTAAATTTGATGTGGAATGATCAGAGGACAATGGATATATGAATGCGCTGTAGTTCTTGGATAATATGAAACTGTAAGTCCAAGTAAAAATTGTACCTGGTGATCTGGCAAATCACAAAAACTTAAGAAATTTTGGACTTTTCTGGTAGCAACATGTTTTTGCTTCAGCCCTCTAGCCATCTAACCACAGAACATGCTTACTAAAACCGTTGGTATAGTTGTTTTCTCTCATTTTGAAAATTTTGCTGTGTAGCAAATTTTTTTGTTTATGCAGTAAATTCAATTAGGAAGAGTTAGACTCAGTCTTTATATCTACTCTTGGGAAGAATCACATTTTACTTTGTGTATATATTTGTTTTAGAAGAGCCTGAAGTATAAATTGCTTGAAAATTTAACAGCTTATTTATGTCTTGCTAGGCCAATGAGAAAGTTTCAATGTATAGAGATATTAAACCAGTTAAAAATATCCACAAGGGCTGGGAAGGTGGCTCAGTGGTAGAGCACTCGCCTTGCATGCTTGAGGCCCTGGGTTCGATTCCTCAGCACCACATAAGCAGAAAAAAAAGCCAGAAGTGGTGCTGTCGCTCAAGTGGTAGAGTGCTAGCCTTGAGCTGAAGAGATGAAGGACAGCACCCAGGCCCAGAATTCAGGCCCCACAACTGGACCCCTCCCCCCTCCCCCCTGCAAAAAAATCCACAAATTCTATTCTTTCCATATCTTCACTTCTCTACATGTTCTGAATATGAAGAACTCAATTATTACTTTACTCTTCTACCTTTCAAGTGTCATGACATAAGGATTGAAAAACTCAAAAGAAATGTTCATCATCCCTGAATATACCAATAGATCTATTCAAAGGACAGTAGACTCGTCACAGTTTTGCTGTATTGGTGAAACAAAGTCTCTGGGCTAAACTAAGGTACGTAGGCACCGTGGAAATATGAGGATTTCCTGAGTTGAGCTGGTCCTATAGCTATTATCAGCTTTACCGACCTTTGCTGATTTGCATATGCTCAGAGCACACCCTACTGCCCCCAATGACTTCATAATAGGCTGCTCACACCCTGTACAGCAGTCAGACCCAGTCAGCAAACAGCATGGACATGAGGACCCCTGCTCAGCTCCTGGGGATCATGCTGCTCTGGCTCCCAGGTGAGGAAGCACAGCACTCCTCCCATCCTCTGTTCAGTGCTGCCTGGGTCTTCAGGGAAGGCCTCCTATAACATGACTAAAAGTGAGGACATTTGTGTTTTTGTTTCCAATGACAGGTTTAAGATATGACATCCAGATGACCCAATCTCCATCATTCCTGTCTGCATCTCCAGGCGACAGAGTCTCTATCACTTGCCAGGCCAGTCAGGACATTAACTATTATTTACACTGGTATCAGCAGAAACCAGGGAATGCTCCAAAGCTTCTGATCTATAACGCAAATAGTTTAGCCTCTGGAATTCCATCAAGGTTCAGTGGGAGTCAATCTGGGACCAAGTTCACTATCACAATCAGCAGCCTACAGTCTGATGATTTTGCCACTTATTACTATCTACAGGGTAGTAGTTACCCTCACACAGTGATACAAGCCATAACATAAACCTCCCAGGGAAGCAGAAGTGAGAGGCTGGGCTGCCCAGCTACTCCTCCTGGTGCTTCCATCTGCTGATAGAGCTTCTCAGATGTAGCACAGCTATGAACACTTTTGAAGTTTTCCATTGAAATGTGAAGGCTCCTCTGAATCTTTGTCCCTTTTCTCCTTCTCTAGCAGAAGCACAGACATGGCCATGTGTCTTCTCATATAAAGTCATTCTTTCTGATTCACACAGTAAAACAGAAGCCAGACAAGAATCTCTAAGAAGGAATTCTTTTAATTCAGGAAATGAGTCTAATCATTAGGTTCTTTAATCCTAGGTCATCAGAGAATTTGGAAGGGGAAGTGTGGCATTCTCTGGTTCAGTGAGGCTGTCCTAGGGTTTTGAGCACATAATCCTATGACTCTCAGCCCTGTGGAAAAAGCCAGGTTGAGTGGCTGATGCTCTCACCTGACCCAACTGCCTCTCCAGGGGAATTCTCCAGGCCCAGATGTCAGGGCAGCTTATGTCAAAAATTATAGAAGTCTCGATTTTCTGGGAAGTTGGCAGAGGAGAAGCTGGAGGCTAAACAAGCTCTCATATAGAAAGCAGTTTTAGTGTTCCAGTGAACAGTCCTAGGCCAGAGAATCACACCAAGTGTGCCTTCACAGTATAGAGAGTTTGGCCAGAGAGGGAAAATCCAGGCAAGAAGACAGATCTGAGTACTTTCAGGTAGCCAGGCTGTGGCAGCTGTGGTAGCATCCATAGTCACCATACCTACAACACAGAGAGTCTGGGACAAAGGTGCCAGATGCAGCGGGTGAGTAGATTCTACTCAACACCAGCAAGAACTGACAAGGATCAGGTATCTTCATCCTGTTGATAGCAGACCAGAGACGACCTAGGAACCAATACTCCGGCTTGAGTAGAACTCTGATATCCTCACTCCTTCTCAGGGAGCAGAGGAGGGAAGGCTGCCCCTCCCCAACCCTACCACAGAGATCTCCATCTTTGATACAGACAAGGGCCTGGCTGAGCAGCTAGCTCCCACTCAGGCCTTGGAAGAAAACAAAAGCCATTTAGCCTATCACAGAAACCTGTCCAGACCTGCCAGGCTCAACTCTATCCAGGGGAATGTCACCCAGCCCAGGCAAAGGAGGCCCTGCCCTAGAGGAGTGGCTTTCTTCACTGGGTAAACAGAGCCAGAGGATGACCCTCCCTACAGCAGCCTTGACAATCAATTGAAATTCAGTAAACATAAGCCCTGAGAATGGCTCCAAGCTGGGCTCTGTGAGTGTCTCTGGAGCTAGATCCTCAGGGAAAAGCTACTGTTTGCTGAAAGGCCTCACCCCTACGCAGAACCTAGATTCATCACAGAATCTCCAAACTAGAGGAAACAGGCATCTCCCTCTTTTGTGATACTCAAAGTAGATCTCCCTCAAACTGAACTAGCCTGAGAGGAGTATCACAAAATCTTGGGAAAAGCAGAGCATTTTTCTGCCTCCTCAAACTGACTTAGCAAACCAATCAAGCCACAGGAAAACCTAACACCACAAGCAGACCAGAGACACCACCAAGAGACTGGTTACAGACACAAGGGAGATACAGAATCTTCCCATCACCCCCCCCCCCAAAAAAAAAAAAATCAAAGAACTCTTTTTGTACCTTTTTAATTTTTTTAAAATTTTTTTCCTCTTATAATTTTTATTTTAGGTTTATATGTGTGTCTGTGCTTTATTTTTATTTATCTCTATTGACCTTTTGGTGCCTTATTTTTTCTGTCTTTATTTTTTTCTTTTTTTCATTCTTTTCAATTTTTTCTCTTTCATTTTTGCGTGACTTAATTTCTGTTCGTTCTTCCTCAGATATATCTGTCATCGATTATTAGACCTTATCCCCCATTGTGTACACATTTAATCCAGAAATTTATTACTCATTTTACAACCTCTTATGCTTAAATTCTTTAATAGCAGTATTATTTCTTTATCTCTATATAATTTTTTAAGAATTTTTGTTTTTCTATTTTTTCTTGTTTTTTTTTCTTTTCTTTTTTAATCTCTCTCATATCATTCTGTCCATTCCCTCTTTGAGATTAGGACTTGGTTAAATTCACTCTCCTTTTACCTCTCCATACCCCTCTAATCCTATTTTTCCCATATTTCTCCCTAAACCTAATAATTTCTGGTTTTCCAAATTCTTCCTTGCTTTTCTTATCCCATTATTCCATAGTTATTTGATGTTGAGCAGATTGTATCTGTTGAACTATATTATATCTGCAGCCTTGTGACTGTGCAACTACAGGACTTTGGTTGATGCTTGCCTTAAAATAGTGTTAAAATAGTAACAAAATTTATGTTACTTTCATGCCAAATGGGCAGAACAAGCCGGAAAAACAAGAAAAAATGGCAAGTCCAGGTATCTCAACTTCCTCTCATGATAATCAGGTGACAGAACAGTTAATGAAAAATCCAGAGCAGAGTTCCCAATGAGCTCTACAAACACCTCTGGTAAACATGTTGAATGAAAAGATCGAAAACCTGGAAAAGACTCAGTGTCAGCATGATAGGGAGAGAGGAGGCAAACAAAATATAAATACAGGAATCTCATGAGAGTGAGGAAGCTATTCAAAGATTGATACAGGAATTGCATGAGCAGACTGGGAACAGACAAATAGAGACACAGGAATTGTGTGAGCAGGCTGAGAACACTCAAAGAGAACTACAGGAATTGTGTGAACGTGAGGATTCTAATCAAAGAGTAAAACAGGAATTGGGAGAGTGGGATGAGAATAGACAAAGATCAATAGAGGCATTCATGGAATCCATAAACAGCTGAAAGAATTCAGGGGGACTACAAAGGGAATGCTGAATGGAGCCCGACAGAAGGAAGGGGAGTCCAAGAAACCATAACCAATCAACTAAGTGATTTGAGAATAAACATTGAACACCAAATTAAGGAAGTAAAGAAGTTCATACAAGATCTAAAACAAAGCTCCAAGAAAGAATTTGAAGCTATTACAGCTGACCAATTAGAAGGATAAGAAATAAAAAACAAAGTAATAAGTCTTGACAGTAGGTTAGACTATGCAGAAGATCGAATCTCAGGGATTGAAGACAGCCTAGATATTATAGAGAAAGAACATGCAACTATCCAAGACAAATCCAAGAAATATGACAGATCTATTCAACATTTGAAAGACACCATCAGAAGGCCTAATCTGAGGATAATGGGTGTAGAGGAGCACCTAGAGACAGAAGTTAATGGTCTAGGAAATTTGTTTAACAGTATCCTAGCAGAGAACTTCCCAAACATGCAAAAAGATAGGCCTATTCAGATACAAGAAGCTTTTAGAACCCCAAATAGTCCAGACTAGAACAAGACATCCCTAGGTCAGGTTATAATCCACACAGGATCAATTCAGACCAAGGAAAAGATCCTTAAAGCTGTCAAGGAAAAAATATTAATCACCTATAAAGGGAAACCAATTAGATTCACCTTAGATTTCACAGCAGAGACAAAGCAAGAAGAGCCTGAAATGATATACGCCATTCCCTAAAGACAAACAATTATCAACCAAGAATACTGTACCCAGCTAAACTCTCCTTCATAACTGAAGGTCAAATAAAAACCTTCCATATTAAAGAAAAATTGAAACAATATATCTCCACCAAACCAGCCCTACAAAAGATACTTAAAGATGTCCTACACATAGAAAACCAACAAGATCACAATAAAGGACAAGAAACCTCACCCAAACAGAATCCAAGTAACATAGGAAGGACCCAGATGCCAAAGCCCCAAAGAAGATGGATAACAGCCGGGCGCTGGTGGCTCACGCCTGTAATCCTAGCTACTCAGGAGGCTGAGATCTGAGGATCGCGGTTCAAAGCCAGCCCGGGCAGGAGAGACCGTGAGACTCCTATCTCCAATAAACCACCAGAAAACCAGAAGTGGCGCTGTAGCTCAAGTGGTAGAGCACTCGCCTTGAGCTGAAGAGCTGAGGGACAGCGCCCAGGCCCAGAGTTCAAGCCCCACAACCGACAAAAAAAAAAAAAAAGAAGATGGATAACTTGGAAGGAACTCCCAAATACCTCTCAGTCTTATCTCTCAACATTAACAGACTTAACTCTCCAATTAAGTGACATAGACTCTCTAGTTGGAATAAAAAGTAAGATCCTTCTATTTGCTGCATTCAAGAATCACACTTTGCCCATAAAAAACAAACACACTTGAAAGTGAAACACTAGAACAAAATCTACCAAGTAAATGGCCCCCATAAACAGGTGGGAGTTGCAATCCTAATATCAGATAAAATAGACTTCAGATTAAAATTAGTGAGAAGAGATAAAGAAGGCAGCTACATACAAATTAGGGGATCTGTCCTTCAGGAGGATATTACAATTCTAAATATCAATTCACCAAACAACAGAGTACCCAAATTTATCCAAGAAACACTACTTTCCTTCAAATCTCACATAGGTCCAAAGACATTAATTGTTGGGGATTTTAACATTTAACACATCACTATCCCCACTAGATAGATCAACTCTGCAAAAATTGAACAGAGAAACTGGAGAGCTAAAAAACTGCATAGATCAACTAGATTTAACAGACATCTACCAAATATTTCATCCAGCAGCATTAGAACACACGTTTTTCTCAGCAGCACATGGAACATTTTCCAAAATAGACCACATTTTAGGTCACAAAGAAAACTTGTCCAAATTCAGAAACATTGAAATTATACCTTGCATTCTCTCAGATCACAAGGGAATAAAAGTAGAACTCAACATCAAAAGCCACGAAAGAAAGTCCTGTAACACATGGAGGCTGAACAACATACTGCTGAATCATCAGTGGGTCATGGAAGAGATTAGAAAGGAAATTCAAATCTTCATGATATTCAACAAAAATGAACATACAAATTACGAGCTCTTCTGGGACACAGCAAAGGCAGTACTCAGAGGCAAGTTTATAGCTCTGAGTTCCTACATTACAAATTGGAGAGATCTGAAACCAACAATTT